AGATTAGTGTGTTCGTAGGTTAGCAGGTTAGTGTGTTGGTAGGTTAGCAGATTAGTGTGTTCGTAGGTTAGCAGGTTAGTGTGTTGGTAGGTTAGCAGATTAGTGTGTTCGTAGGTTAGCAGGTTAGTGTGTTCGTAGGTTAGCAGGTTAGTGTGTTCGTAGGTTATTTTCTTAAATGTTCTGTGAAATTCAGACACCAGGAGTCACATGATGACATCATCCCTAAGCATAGGGCAGTTATTTCCACCAGATCTTCTGACTCATGGTTTCAGTTTACAGACAAAAACAGATTTTAAAAAACTGAACAAGAATTTGTGAAGAAAAGCTGAAGTTTACACTCCACACTATTAAAGTCAGAAACAAATCATTTTAGACATCATTCAGTCACAGATGAGTTCCTGTTTGAACAGTTTGAAATGAAGACACACACCTGTGCTTTAATCTGAGTCATTCACACATTTGTTTTTCACGCTTAATAATGTTTAAAAATAAGAACTAAATTAGCAGAAATACGAATTCAAAAGCTGTAATTTTTCAAGTCAGCTGGGTTGTAGCTCCGCCTCCTGGCTTTACTGAAACAAATTATTTTCTCAAACGTGACTTTTAAAAGACATGAACGGTTTTATCTGTGATCTACGCTTTAAAGAAGTGCTTTGATTATAATAAACTCATCTCATCAAGTTACACAGATATTGAGTTTATTTCGTATAATTCTGGACAACAAACTTTGCTGGAGCCTCACATGAATATATTAGAAATAAAATGTCAAAAACTGTTTGAACACTGTTTAAAATAAAAGATTTAATAAATGTAAAAGGTTTGTAAGTTATATACTCCTTGATTAGGCCCTGTTTGTCTTATTGCTCAGAAATATGGGGAAATACAACTAAAACTATTGACATATTAGTTAAATTACAAAAAAACTATCAGGCTTATTAATAAAGTGGGATATCATAAAACCAACTAATAAACTTTTTATTCAAAGTAAAAATACTAGAAATAATGTATAAAACATTGATTAAAGTTCTTCATTCTGGAAATCAGAAATGATTTAAATTAAAGGAGTAAACTTATGAGGTTTGTTAATCTTTGAGAAAAGTCAAATAAATCTTGATGTGTTTCAGTTGTTGGTGTGAAACTATGGAGGGACATGAATGATTTTTAATGAGCTTTAAAATGTAAAGTTATAAACTTTATACTGTTATGTAGATTTATATTTGTATTTTGTAACCATGTATGCATGTAATGTATGTACAAGTATATACATGTATATTTAAGGTATATATGTATGTATAAGGACAGTAGATATCTTTATTTCTGTACACGGAGTATTTGATAAGGGTAGGCATGTGTAAGCC